AAACTTCTTGTATTGGATGCTTCATTCATGAATTTCAGCCTTTCTTTTTCTCAGGTATGTGCATTTAAGGCTGTTATTTCAATGTATTTTCATTGTCATTCAGTTCAAAATAATTTCTGATTTCCATTGTGAGTTGTTCTTTGAGCCATGAGTTTTTTAAAAAATGTATTTCTTAATTTACAAACTATGTGCTTCCAGTTATCTCTTTGTTTTAGGATTCAGGCTTATTTCCACTGAGATCACAAAATATACTCTGTGTAATTGTAGTTCTCTGATTTTTATGTGCTTGTTCTTTCCATACTAAGAGAATTGCGTTAATATCTTCCACTGTGATTCTCCTTATAGTTCTGTAAACATTTTATTTGATGTGTTGAATGTGGTTATCAGGCACATAAAGATTTAGAATTATGATATCTTCCCATGCAATGTTACTTTTTCTTTTCTCTCTTTCCTTCTTTTGCTCTGATTTAATATTTTTTATTATTTAATGTTTTTCTTCTTTTAACTTAGAATTTACTGTTTTACTTATCTTTTAGTAGTTACTCTAGAAATTATAGCATGCATCCTTCATTCATCAAAGTCTAATAATTACTGGCATTTTTATGTTTTTCCTGACCAATATAAAAGTCATAGAATATTCCTTTACTCTGTTTACTCCCTTTCCAATTTATTATGTTATTATATTTATGTATTTTAATGCTGACACATATTTTTCCACATTTTAAGATCTGTAAAGGTAGTGTATATCTTACAACTGATGGCCTTTTATAATCACTGTAGACCTCGACTGAAGTTGAGCTATGTCAAGGATTAGCAAAGAGGGGCACCACAAACCTGAGACTATTTAAATTAATTACTCCATTTAGTTTGTTTTGGAATACTCTGTTATTATGGATTAAGGTAGAAGAACTGTATGAGTACCAGTTTATGGTTCAATTTCTCAGGGCATATAATTTTTTTTCCCCCTCTCATTGTCCACCTGGTGGCAAGATGGGGAAATGCACATTTTCTTGTTCTTTTCTGTTTGGCAGTTTAGTTTTTCATTTACTCCTGCACCAAAATAGCCCTTTGTTTTTCAACTTCTGCAGGGTCTTATATTAAATTTCCCATCTTGGGTGACTTGTATTTCACAGTATTAGATTAAATAAATGATACACTTACAATTGGTGGATCCAGTTTTCAATAAAAAGCCATTGAAAACACTAGATGTATGTAGATTTGTTCACATATTTATTGTTTTTTATTTATTTCCTCCTCTCCTACCCTACACTTTGAGAAATTTTCCTTAAGCCTAAAGAATGCTCTTTATTATTTCCTATAGAATAAGTCTATGGACTTGAATTCTCTGAGTTTGCCTAAAATTGTCATTTCAACTTTTCTAAAAAATATTTTCACTAAGTATAGGATTAGAGGTTTATAGCTTTTCTCTTGTCCATTCAAAGATATTATTCCACTATTTATTTATTTATTTTATTTTTTTTTTGAGACAGAGTGTCACTCTTTTGCCCGGGCTAGAGAGAGTGCCATGGCGTCAGCCTAGCTCACAGCAACCTCAAACTCCTGGGCTCAGGCGATCCTTCTGCCTCAGCCTCCTGAGTAGCTGGGACTACAGGCATGTGCCACCATGCCCGGCTAATTTTTTCTGTATATTTTTAGTTGTCCAGATAATTTCTTTCTATTTTTAGTAGAGACGGGGTCTCGCTCTTGCTCAGGCTGGTTTCGAACTCCTAAGCTCAAGCAATCCGCTCGCCTTGGCCTCCCAGAGTGCTAGGATTACAGACGTGAGCCACCGCGCCTGGCCTCCACTATTTATTTTTTATCATTGTTTTTGAGAGGTCATCTGTTTGAAGGTAATATATGTTTTAAGTTTGATTTCTTTCTTCAGCTTTGGAAAATTCTCAGTCATACGTCCTTCAAATTTTCCTTCCTCCCACCTTTCTTCCCTTCTTCCCGGATTCCAGTTACATTCATTATAGACCCATTTACAACATCCCATATTGTTTTTTGTCTTCTTTAATCTGTGTATAGTTGACCCTTGAACCACATGGGGATTGGGGCAATGACTCCCTGCACAGTTGAAAATCCAGGTTTAGCTTTTGACTCCCTAACAGTTTAACTACTACTAATAGCCTACTATTGACTGGAAGCCTTGCCAATAACATGAACAGTTGATTAACACATATTTTGCATGCTATATATATTATATACTGTATTCTTACAATAAACTAGCTAGAGAAAAGAAAATGTTATTAATATTAAGAAAATCATAAGGAGGAGAAAATATATTTACTATTCATTCAGTGGAAGTGGATCATCATAAAGGTTTTTGTCATCATTGTCTTCACAATGAGTAGGCTGAGGAGGAGGAGGGAGAGGAGAGGTTGGGGCTGCTGTCTCAAGGGTGGCGGAGGCGGAGGCAGAGGAGGTGAAGGAAGTAGAAGGGGAGGCAAGAGAAGTAGGCACACTTGGTGTAACTGTATGGAAATACATCATAATTTCTGTCTGACTTTTTGGTTTTTCATTTCTCTAAAAACATTTCTATACGGTACCAATCTTTCTTCCAGCACTTGCTTTAGTTTCAGTGCCTGTGTCATAGAAGGGTTCACGTTATAAAAGAAGTCAAAAGCAGTCTTGAGTAATTGGAAAATTTCCGACAGACTGTCTAGTGCCAATTTTTTTCTGGAACTGCTTCTTCACATCTTCTTCCTCATTGTCTTGCACTGGTTCAGGAGCACTCATCTCCATCAAGTTATCTTCTGTTAATTCCTTTGGTGTGGTGTCTATGAGCTCTTAAATTTCTCCAAGATCCATGTCTTGAAACTCTTCACACCCAACCTTTTTTGCCATATCCACAATCTCTCATGACTGCCTTGATTAGCTCTGTCATCAATCCTGTGAAGTCATACACAACACTTGGACACAGTTTTCTCCAGCAGGAATTTGTTATTTTGGGCTTGATGGCTCTCACAACTTATTCTATAATGACAATGGCATCTTCAATGGTGTAATCCTTCCAGACGTTCATGATGTTCCCTCTGTGAGGGTTCTGTTCCGTAGCGTTAGGAATCTTTCCCATAGAGTACCGCGTGTAATGAGACTCAAAGGTCCTCATGACCTTTTGATCTAGAGACCGAATTAGAGACATTGTGTTTGAGGCAAGCAGACCACTTCAACATCTTCAGTGTCGAACTCATGGGGTTCTGAGTGCCCAGGGGCATTGTCCAATATCGAAAGAACTTTAAAAAGCAATCCCTTACTGGCAAGGTACTTCCTGACTTCCAGGACAAAGCATCACTGGAACCAATCCAGAAAAAATATTTTTATTACCCAGGTCTTCTTGTTGTACTACCAAAAGACTGGTGGCTGATGTTTATCTTTTCCCTTCAGCACTGGGGCGGTTAACAGCTTTATAGATAAGGACAGTCCTGATCATAAACCTGACTGCATTTGCACAAAACAGTAAACTTATCCCTTCCTGCCTTAAATCCTGGTGCTCACTTCTCTTCCTTACTAATAAATGTATCTTGTGACTTTTGTCCCCAGAATAGGGCGCTTCAGTCTGCATTAAAAACCTGTGCAGACAGATATCTCTTCTCAAGATTCTCTTAATGATGTCTGGGAATTCGTCTGCTGCCTCTTGGTTGGCAGAAGCTGCTTCGCCTGTTCTCTAGACACTTTTTAAGCCAAACCTCTCTCTAAAATTATCAAACTATCATTTGCTGGCATTAAATTCTCCAGCTTTAGATCTTGTACCTTCCTTTTGCTTTAAAATGTCATATATTGACTTCACCGTTTCTCAAATTATATTAGAATCTATAGGTATGCCTTTCTTTACATTTCAGAATATTTTCCAGGGTACAAACATTTTGGTTACATAAGTTGCTTTTGTACTGTTTGAGTCAAAGTAATAAGTGTGCTCATCCCCAGATAGTGTACATTCTACACGTTAGTTGTGAATTTATCCATCTTCTCCTCCCCCCGCTCCTGCTTGATTTCCAATGAATGTTATTTCCATATTTACACATAACTGTTGATCTATTAGTTCCAATTTAATGATGGTGAATACACGTGGTGTTTGTTTTACCATTCTTGTGATACTTCATTTAGAAGAATGGTCTTCAGTTCCATCCAGGTTAATACAAGAGGTATTCGTTCACCATTTTTTTTATCGCTGAGTAGAACTCCATGGTATACATATGCCACATTTTATTAGTCCACTCCTGTATTGGGCACTTGGGTTGTTTCCACATCTTTACAATTGTGAATTGTGCTGCTATAAACATTCAATGCAAGTGTCTTTTTTTACAGAATGTCTTTTTTTCCTTTGGGTAAACACTGAGGAGTGAGATTGCTGGATCAAATGGTATTCTACTTTTAGTTCTTTGAGGTATCTCCATATTACTTTCCATAGAGGTTATACTAGTTTGTAGTCCCACCAGCAGCATATGAGTGTTTGTATCTCTCTACATCCATGCCAGAATTTGTTGTTTTGGGACTTTTTGATAAAAGCCATTCTCACTGGAGTTAAGTGAAGCTCATTGTAGTTTTCATTTGCATTTCCTTGATGACTGGAGATGTTGAGAATTTTTTCATGCGTTTGTGGCCATTATTATATTTTCTTTTGAAAAGTTTCTATTCATGTCTTTTGCTCACTTTTTAATGGGAATGTTTGATGGGTTCTTGCTGATTTGCTTAAGTTCTTTATAGATTCTACTTATCAGCTCTTTATCACATGCACATCATACAAGTATTTTCTCCTGTTCTGTAGATTGTCTGTTTGCTCTGATGATAGTTTCCTTGGCTGTGCAGAAGCTTTTTAATTTGATCAGGTCCCATTTATTTATTTTTGTTGTTACTGTCATTGTTTTTTGGGTCTTCTTCATAAATTATTTGTCTAGACCAATGTCTTTAAGAGTTTTCCCAACATTTTCTTGTAGAATTCTTATGGTATTATGCCTTAGGTTGAAGTCTGTTGCTTATCGTAAGTTGGTTTTATGGGAGGTAAGAGGTGCAGATCTTGTTTTAGTCTTCTACATGTGGCTATCCAATTTTCCCAAGACCATTTCTTAAAGAGGGATTCTTTTCCCTAGTGTATGTTTTTCTCTGTTTTGTCAAAGATCAGATGGCAAAATGGGAATGGTTTTATATCTGGGTTCTCTGTTCTGATCTATTGGTCTATGTCTCTATTCTTGTGCCAGTACTATGATGTTTTGGTTACTATAGCCTTGTAGTATAGCTTGAAGTCTGGTAAATTGATGCCTCACAATTTGTTCTTTTTGCTTAAGGTTGCTTTGGCTATATGGGGTCTTCTCTGATTCCATGTAAAGTGTAGAATTATTTTTTCTAGATGTGTAAAAAATGATGTTGATATTTTAATAGGGATTGCATTGAATCTGTAGATCACTTTAGGTAGTACAGACATTTTAACAATGTTGATTCTGCCAACCCATGGGCATGGTATGGTTTTCCATGTTTATGTCCTCTGCTATTTCCTTCCTCAGTGTTTCAGAGTTCTCCCTGTAGAGGTCTTTAACCTCTTTAGTTAAATATATTCCTAGATATTTTATTTTCTTTGCTGCTATTGTGAAGGGTATTGAGTCTTTGATTTGGTTCTCAGTTTGACTGTTGTTGGCATACATGAATGCCACTGATTTCTGTACATTGATTTTGTAATCTGAGACTTTGCTGAATTTATTTATCAATTCCAGTAGTCTCTTGGAAGAATCTTTAGGGTTTTCTAGACATAAGATCATATCATCAGCAAAGAGTGATAATTTGATCCCTTGTGCCCCAATTTGGATACCCTTTATTTCCTTCTCTTATCTGATTGCTCTGGCTAGGACTTCCAGTGCTATGATGAATAGAAGTGGGCAACTCTGGTTCCATTTCTTTCTTTCTTTCTTTCTTTTTTTTTTTTTTTGACACAGAGTCTCACTCTCTTGCCTGGGCTAAAGTGCCGAGGCATCAGCCTAGCTCACAGCAACCTCAAACTCCTGGGCTCAAGTGATCCTCCTGCCTCAGCCTCCCAAGTAGCTGGGACTACAGGCATGCACCACCGTGCCCAGCTAATTTTTTCTATGTTTAGTTGTTTGGTCAATTTCTTTCTATTTATAGTAGAGACAGGATCTCGCTCTTGCTCAGGATGGTCTCAAACTCCTGAGCTCAAGCAATCCTCCTGCCTTGGCCTCCCAGAGTGCCAGGATTATAGGCGTGAGCCACCATGCCCAGCCTGGTTCCATTTCTAACTGGGAATACTTTTAATTTTTCCTGTTCAGTATGATGTTGGCTGTGGGTTTGTTGTAATGAAACAATGGATTTAAACAGAACTCTAGAAAAAATGGGACTAACAGACATTTACAGAACATCCTACCCACATACCATTGAATATGCCTTCTTTTCATCAGTTCATGGGACATTCTATAAGATTTATCACATCCTAGGCCACAAAACAGGTCTCAACAAATTAAAAAAATATATAAATTATACCATACATCTTCTCAGACAACAGTGGAATAAAATTAGAAATCAACACCAACAGAAATACTCATCTCTGTACAAAGTCATGGAAACTAAACAACCTAGAGCTGAATGATAATTGGATAAAGAAGGAAATTAAGATGGAAATCAAAAGATTCTTTGAACTAAATGATAAAGGGGACACAAATTATCAAAATCTGTGGGACACAACTAAAGCAGTCTTGAGAGGAAAATTCATAGCCATAAATGCCTATATCCAAAAGACAGAAGGATCACAAATCAACAATCTAATGAATCATCTCAAGGAACTGGAAAAGGATGAGCAGACCAATCCCAAACCCAGCAAAAGAAAATAAATAACCAAGATCAGAGTGGAAATAAATGAAATCAATAATAAAAGAACTATACAAAAGATAAATAAAACAAAAAGTTGGTTTTTTGAAAGGATAAACAAAATTGACAGGCCTATCACTAGATTAACCAAAAGCAGGAAAGAAAGGACCTAATAATCTCAATCAGGAATGAAAAAGGAGAAATTACAACTGATACCACAGAAATACAAAATATCATCTCTGAATACTATAAAAATTTCTATGCACATAAACTTAAAAATGTAGAGGAAATGAAAAAATTCTTAAAAACACATAGCCTCCCTAGGCTGAATCAGTAAGAAATAGAATTCCTACACAGACCACCATCTTGTACCTTAATTGAAGCAGCAATAAAAAAATCTTCCAACAAAAAAAGTCCTGGACCAGATGGTTTCACACCTGCATTTTACCAGACCTATAATGAAGAACTGCTACCTATCTTGCAGAAATTATTTCATAACATCAAGAAAGAAGGAATCTTTCTGAGCATGTTTTATGAAGCCAACATCACCTTGATGCCAAAGCCAGGAAAGGACTCAACAAAAAAATAAATCTACAGACCAATATCCCTTATGAATATAGATATAAAAATTCTCAATAAAATCCTAGCAAACCAAATTCAGGTGTTTATCAAAAAAATAATCCATCATGACCAAGTGGGCTTCATCCTAGAAATGCAGGGATGGTTCAACATATGCAGATCTATAAATGTGATTCACCACATAAATACAAGTAAAAACAAAAACCATATGATCCTCTCAACAGAAGCAGAAAAAGCATTTGACAAAATTTAGCATACTTTTATATGATAAGGATGCTTAACAAAATTACAATGTATTGTAATACAATTCTGCCTTTAGGATACATTAAAATATACGGGGTTATTTGCCCTGCCTTTAAATGACTTTGGTATCTGTGACTCTTCATTTAGTTCTAGATCCCTTTCAGCATTAACTCTTGTGCTTGGTCTACTCACTAAATATACCGAACAGTAAGTTCACTAAACTGTTGCTTGAGTTGATAAACATACACTGAGGTAACAGGCTAAAGATAAGTAAAGAACTTTCTATTAGAATATTAAATAGTTTTTGTACCTTTCCAGGAGTTTTATTTAATTTTATGCAACCAGTAGTATTTCTTGAAAAAAAAATTGAATCATTTTTCTGCCTCAATAATGGAGACTATTCTTTCACCACTTGAGAATCAATACAATCTAAATTCTAAGTTCCTTTTGAATATAAGTTTTAATATAAACACTTTAGAACTCTTTTGATCAATACCCTTACCAATTTATTTGAGCACTGTGTAGACCATGTTCCTTAAGTTTGTTCTAATGACCTCTTTATTCTATTTTAACAGGTTTCAAATCAGAAGCACAGCTACCCAGGAAAATTCATCTCCCAGTTGTGTATGGATTCACACATCAATCATTTATGACCAACTTTGTAGTATGCCTTCATACAGTATTTGTGAGAAGAAGCTTTCAATGTAAGGGGGAGGGTGAAGGTAGGAGAGAGGAGTATGTAAGACAGTAAGGAGGACAGAAAACAGAACAGGAAAGAGTACTATTTGAAGTCAAAATAAATGCTGAAAATGTTTAGGGAGCTCAGTAAACTTTAATCTTAGAATGGAGAGGCTGTGATTTCTGTACTAGTCAACTCTACAGGTAGGCAGGCCAGCAGTATCATGTTCTAGTTAATAGAACCCTAGCCATGGAATCAGGGCAGTTAAGCTTGAATTTTCACTCTGCTATTAACTCAGTATTAACTTAGGGTAAGCCACAGTCCTTGCAGCTTCAAGGGAGTCTTAATACCTGGCTCCACCAGAGTTACTTTTTGTCCTCGAAGAGTGTCACTGGAGTAAACACTGTGTTTTCATGACTTGTTTATCAGCTTCTAGCAGTATGTCAGACACAGGTAGAGGGTGAAATATACTTTCAACTAGCTAAATGAAGAAATGGCAAAAATGTCTTCACTGCGTTTTATTATTTTCATCATTACGATCATGATTAGGATCATCATCATCAAAAAGCAGTGACTCCGACTTTTTATTTATCAATAAATCATCCAGAGAGTATGTTTGTCATATCCCTGACTAATAAAATCCTGTGTACTATGAAATTTCAGGGAAACTGCTTTTATAGGAAAGTTTTCTCCTTTTTAAATAGTATCGATCAATCAATCAGTACCATCTGATGATGAATATACAAAAGTAATCTCATTGGCAGAAGTATTAACATTTTGAAATGCAAAACATGCTCTGTTATTTTTATGATGTGCTGGTTTTCAATTTTTACAAATTCCTCAGTAATTACTATAAAAAGGTACAATTAGAATGTAACTATGTTTCCTCATGTGATAATTTGGCTCATTTTCTTTCAAACTTTCCTACTGGTGCTATTTTTATTTCTAACAGAGATTTCTATATTGCTGGGGAGTCATTTACGGCCCTCTCCAGTTGATTAACATGTAAACAGAAATTTTGTCAAGTTCACTGAATTGTTCACTTTAAGATGGATAATTTTATGTTGTATGGATTTCACCTCAATAAAAAGAACCTTTGGCCTCTAAATGATGTGCTTGTGTGTAACAATCACTATCACAATTGATCCTCTCCCCACAGGTGATGGTGAATTTGGTACTGGGGAAAGGGTGTGTGTAGTAAATAGTCCTGTACTGAGGCATAAATTTGGGATCTTAAAATTTTTAAAAATCTAAGAGAAGATAGAGATTTTTGTGACGTTTACGTATGTCTTTTAATATACAAATTTGTGTTGCCACTATCTGATAAAAAATGTAGAAAAGGAAGAGAGAATTCAGGCTGAGAGTGAAAACAAGATGAACTGGTTTAAGTAGCTAACTAAAGGACAGATGGGGTTTTGAGGAGATGCCAAGTACTTTAATTTTGTTTGGGGTTTAATTGATTCCTCCTGAGTCCCCAGGATGGGGTGGATGAGTTTAAGAAATCATGATAATCAAGGGAAATCATTCTAGATGCTGAAAATCAAGCTGTATTAATCTAGAACAACAGGCCAAGCAACAATAACCCATGACTTAGAGTAAAGGCCTGCGTATGACCAGCGTGACAGAGTAAAGTAAGACGGCTCTAGGTTGCCCAAGACGTACTACACCCGACCTGCTGACACGTGTTTGTACTACCGCTTACATGGACACGTTCATGAGCGTGAACAGGAGACAGCCACACTTTCCAAGAGAGAAAAACGGGGAAAGAGCTGCTAGCTAAACCTAAATGTGAGGGATAACTACAAGATGAGTGATGGTCATGCTAGAGCAGCAGTCCCCAACCTTTTTGGCACCAGGGACTGGTTTCATGGAAGACATTTTTTCCACCTACAGGTCTGGGGTACGTGGAGCTCCAGCGGTGATGCGAGGATGGGGAGCCGCTGTAAATACCGATGAAGCTCGGCTCCCTCACCCCTCCCTCACCCCCTGCTCGGCTCACCTCCTGCTGTGTGCACATCCCCCCCCTTTCCTAAGTTTCATGGAAGACAATTTTTTCCACACAGGAGGGGGAATACCGGGACGGGCGGAGGGAGGGGGTGAAGGGGGGCCGCGGAGTTCTGCAGCCTGGGGTTGGGGACCGCAGTGTTGGAGGAAACACCTACTGAAGGGCCACGATGTTCTCTTGCCTGGGTTATAGCAGTAATTTTTGAAGTTATCTCCTAGCCTTCACCCTTGTCCCTCTACAGTTCATTTTCAAACAAAACAGAGTGTGTTCATTAAATTCAAATCCAGTCATGTCAGTTTGGCATGCTTCCACCTCAGGGTCTTTGGCATTCCTGTCCCCTTCACCTGCGTGACTTTTACCAGGGATATCTGCAGGGCCTATTCGCTCACCTCCTTCAATATCACTTTCTTAATGAAGCTTACTCTGATTACCCTATTTAAAATGACCAACAGTCCTTTCCCTACATCCTTAATCTCCCTTACCCATTGTATATTTGCCATAACACTTATTATAGTCCAATATACTCTATTATTTACTTACTTACTATTTTTCTTGAATATCATCTGCCTTTCTCCACAGAACGCAGGCTCTAAAAGAACAGAGAACTTTGCTTTACACTAATGTATCCAAGAATTTGAGAATAGCACCTGCCATATAGTAGATGTTCAAAAAATACTTTTGTTATTGTTGAAAAAAATAAGCATTTATGGAAAAGTAGTGTAAATGTTAATGTAGGTTGTTTATCAAAAATTATCAAGGATCTACTTGAATAACTGAAGCTTGGGAAATAGTTCTAATTGCTATTTTATTAGAATTCTAATTAGAGGCACCTCCTAGATGCATTTTTCTGACCCCAGCTGTTGCAATTTTTACTGTTTCTCTTTCATTTTCATATGTGCTTTACATACCTTTGTCTTCAAAATTTTTACTGCCTTCTTCTCTCCTATACTTCTGGTTAATATTCAACTCAATGCAAATGCACAAATAATTTTTGATTTTCTCTGTTTTACAAGGCATTATGCAAGAGGAAGATCTTTTTAGGTTTTTTTTTTTTTCAAATTTAGAATAATATGATAAATAACTCACGGCTTGAAACATATATGAATCCACAGTATATACTTCCTGATAGATCTCTTATAGGGTCTGGCTACCCCAACTCCAGCATTTTCCATACTCCTTTATATTTAGCATGCTTGATTTTGCCCAGCTATCATCCAACATCTAGAAAAATTTTGGTAGAATAATGTAATTTTATTGTACTAATTCAGGAAGAATTTTTAGACATTAACTAAAACAATCTTCTCATTTCCTTCTCAGTTTAGGAAATTTAGGCCCAAATTGTTAATTGGCTTCCCAAAGCCACAAGGTAGTTAGAAATAGTTTTAAAAGTTCTGACTCTTAGTAAAATGTCTAATTCCTCATGATCATGATGTACCAAATGTGCTATAAAATGTTAAATCAAGTTCAGATACTATAAAATCATTAAATTGACAAGAAAGCACTTTTAGAGCTTTTTCTGTCACTAATCAGTAATGTGGCTTGGACCAATCACTTTACCTAGCTGGGCTTCAATCTCCCTTTCTGTAAAATGAGAGTAGAATCAATCAGATGCCCTCAGGAGGACTCCTTTGTGCTGACATTTCACATATATGATGCTTTACACTCTGCCCTTGGGGAAAAGAAGAGGCCAGGTCCTACAGTCTCTTCTCTTTCCATGAAGGCACAGAGAGGTTAACACATTGACTGTCACACTAGAAGAAAAAATTTTTCCTTGGGCCACAGTGTTTTATTACGAAAATAGGATAAAAACTTCGAAAACAAAATGAACCTTTCTAATTGAATGAAAAATTTGTTATTGACTTCTGTTCATTTAATCTACATTTTTAGAATTAAATTGTCAATATTAATTGTAACAATAAGGACATCAACATGTAAGATTTTCACAAATCAACCGCAGGGTTTTGCCCGGGGGGCCACCTATCAAGTAACATGTATGTTGTAGCATGGCAGCGTGAGTTGCCTGTGCAACACGTAGCTCCCAAGGTAAAGAGACACGTGAGTTACATATGCTTCATGAGGCTCAAAAGTAGTGTGACTTAACTACAACTCACATGACAGTTAATGTGTCAAAAACACTCTAAGTGATTCCATGTATGGTGGGTAAGCAATGAGGATATATGTCCCCAGACTGGTTATTAATATCAATCTGCAAAGTCTGAAGGAACCACAGGGCTACTGTAAGGCCTTGCTTTCTTTACACTGTAGTTACATGTATGAGCAGCGTAAACAGATAACAAAAGAGATTTGAGTAGGGCAACCGTTTGGATAACTGCTCAGACAGAGACCGCCCATACAGACAACACGTGCTATTTCCCTTGAGCCTGACCAATTTGGCACTCAGAGTACAAGCTCACAGGAGAGGGGCTGGGCCTCTCCAGGCAGGAACTGGAGTCAGAGATTTCCCCTGCTACTTGCTGGGAGAGAACATTAGGAATGCCTTTCAGTGCCTTGTTTCCTGAACTAGCTCACAGTAGCCAGGCGGCTTGGGGCAGTCTGATCACAACTAGCCCTCACCCCTGCAGGAACCCGATGCAGGCCAAGTTCAGCAGCACAAGGGACATGCTGGATGATGATGGGGACACCACCATGAGCCTGCATTCTCGAGCCTCTGCTGCAGCCCGGCGGCCAGAGCCCGGGCACACAGGTACTCTGTCTCCTGGAGTCCAAATAGACCAGAGCTCTTGAGAAATGCACAAGATGAGCTACCTCTCCTAGGAATGTATAAAATTGGAGGAAGGAGAGGAAATGTTTTCATGATTTACAGTGATGTGTAACTGCGTACTTTCCACAACTTAATGTCACAGATGTGAACATCTGGAAATTTAAACTCAGCATATATATACAGAGATGTTTGTTTTTTCTGAAATTCTATTGCTAGCACAGTGGTTTGCAGTTGAGGGTGTGTTGTTTTTTCCACACAGGTATAGCATACAAAGGTGAAATTGTATGTATAATTAAAGCGACATCCCTTCTCCTAGCCACTTTCCTATGAAGACTAAATCAGGCACTGTTGTGTTTACCATCTGTGATCCGATTTGGAAATTTCACTTTATATGGGCTACCTTTTTGCTAGTTTTGAACTCATGGCTTTAGAGGAAGATTTCCAAGTAGATAAATTAACCCTGGTACTTTGTTCTAATAATTTTGCATCTTGACGTGAGACCTTGGGAGATTCATGTCAACATCAAGTGTTTAGTTCTATCATCTGTGAAATGAAGGGTGATTAAAGCAAATGCTTTCTGAAGTCCTTTCAGCTCTGAGATTCTGTGATTTGATAATCTAAATGGTGGCCTCATATTCAGTTACATCCAATCCCCATTCCTTTTCATTCTATTAATCTCAGAATATTATTGAGAAGATGGAATCATATTATAAAAGTATTTAATTTTAGTTACACTTAGCTGTCATAATTTTATTTTCAATTATTCACCCTATGACATAGTAATAATTTTTTTTCAGTTCTAATCAGTGCCATAATTCACACACAGAGACAGATCTTATTTCCTGGGCCACTCAGTCACTGTAAAGCAGAAATGTGCCCTGACTTCTAGTTGAAAAGGCCTCACACCATAACATAGACAGGACTAAGTTCTAGGCCTAACACCAGGTATGCCACTTGCCATCTGTGTGATCTGGGACAAGTTACTTAAATATTCTGGAGCTTCACATTCTTCATTTATAAAATGTTAATGACAGCAAACACGTGTATCGTGCTTATTATGTGCCAGGCATTGTTTTATGTACTTATATGCCTATTAATTCATATTAACTTGAACAAATATTAAATAAAAGTAACAAGACCTCCCTTATAAGGTGGCTATGAGTACTAAGAGTGATAAAGTATGTAAAGTACTTGGTACATTACAGACACTCCAAAAATGTGAGTTCCTTTCAATATCCCATTCCCTGAGAATTCCTAAAGCCTTCTGTTCAGCAGTTTTGTGTCAGTCTACATTACACAGATCTGCATTCATTGCCTGTATCTTAATATATCCCTTCCCTTCTCACCAGATCCAATATTTCTTCACCTCTGTAAATCTGGACATATCATTTTTAAAAAACTGTTCTCTTCCTTCTTTTCTTTTTCAAATAACTTTTCCCCTACTAAATGTTTCCATTCACTTTCTATTCATTGAGTGATCCCCTACCTGAGATCTACTGATATGACTTTTTTTTTTATTAACTAAACCACTCAGTAAAGCTGTTAGGGGATATCGGGGATTTCCAGCCTCTTTGACATGAAGCTAAGTGACAACAGCGGGAATGTCAGTTTCTGTAGCCACAGGATATGCGTAATAGGATTCAAAGTGTTTTTCTCCAACAAACCTTATGAAGAGTCAGTTGTTAGGCTGTGGTTTTGAGTGGCTTGTGTATAACTTCATTTTTCACCTTTGATTGGAGACAGGAACTCTCTCAAGGATTAGCAATCAGCATAATCAGGAACAGTGTGTACAGAGAAGTTCTGCTGAGGGTGAAGGGTGGAGGGGGAAGCAGAGCAAGATAAAACACTAACTGCAACATCTGGCACCTCTTTGTGAGAAATGGAAATTGAAACAGTAGGAGTGGAGGTTACAAAGAAGTGTCTTGGAGGCAAACATCTGGAAAGCATTATCTTACTCTACATGTTTGATATCTTGTTTTCCTCTTTTTGTGATAATCCAAATATTTAGAGGAATGTCACTATGGCAGTCTAATTATTTCTCAGGTAAATATATCTGATATATACTTTTGCTGTTTAAAATAACAGGGAAGCAATCAGTGAGAATTTTTGGCAATGTGGAGCACTCAGATTCAACATAATGCTGTGGTACAATTATGAGTGGGCAATGTTTATTTTTTTCTTTAGAAGTAACAAAAATGAATCCTATACATTCATTTTCTAAATTTTTATTATCTCAACATAACAATCATGTTTGTGTTAAGAAATGCCAAACAATTCAGAAGATAGAAAGTAAAAATGAGAGACAAATTTATCCAAGTTGCCCAAAGACACTTGTATATGTAGGATTTAGGCTGGGGGAAGAATTCTGAGCTATATATATATATATATATATACACACATATATATATATAAATAGATATATAAATTGTTGGCATAAGAATTAAATTAAGTAGTTAAATAAAATAAGTAGTAGCTTAAATGTAAGGAAGTGAGATTACTGAGAGAGGGAATGTAAAATGAAAAGACAACAGAAGAGTGACAAGGAGAGAATCTTAGGGAATATCAACAATCGAGCAGTATGAAGAGCAAAAGATTCCAACAGGAGCTACTGAGAACCGAGGGGAGAGAGTGGCAGACGCAGGGCTCTGGGAGAGCGAGGCATCCAGCATGTCAAGAGACAACAAATTCAAGAGTAATGGAAAAGTCATTGGTAATGACTAGTGAGTTTTAAAAATGATAAACAATAAATACTGCAGAGAGTTTAAGAGGAAGACTAAAAACAATATATTGTTTCAGCAGTAAGGAGGAAAATAAATTATTTTTGATAGCAGTGGTTTAAAAAGTAACTGATGGTTAAGTAGTAAAATAAACTATTTTCTTTTTTTTCTTTCTCTATTTTTTAAGATATAAAGGGTTATTATTGAGGTATTACAGAGTTGAGCCAAAAATTTTTTTAATTATTTTTTAAGATGTGGGAGGTTCTAACTCAATTGCAGACTGAAAAGCAGCTCAGGGAGACAAAGCAGCGCTCCCGGCTCTCCGCGCCGGCGGGGCGGAGGGAGTGCGGGCAGCTTTGCGACCTGTCTCGCTCGGGACGTAAAGCGGACGGCCCGGCAGCAGCGCATGCTCAATTGTGCGCGCTCAACATCGTCCCCAGGGGTTGCGGCCCTGGCCTGGAGGTGCCCTGGAGGTGCCCGGGAGGGCATAACCGGGCTTGGACTGGGGCAGAGGGCAGTAAGGAGAACTTGTGTCCTCGACCCATCCTCCAGACTCCGTGTGAAATGTGGATAATATTATTCCTTACTGCCATGAATGACTGTTGGCTGCCTACCATGCGTAAAGCAAACACTCGGCTTGCATTGAAGGGACCCAACCTGGGGAGAGGGGCGAATGAGTTCTGGCCACTTGCCCAGCGGGAGCCTTTGCCCGGGGCCCTGTTGCTGCTGAGAAACTGTCCTTTGGGGCCCCAGGGCAGCCGCCAGGTGGCAAGCCACGGCTTGGAGTCTTGGAGTCGATACTGCCTGTGAAGTGGGTGGTGGGAAGGACAAACTCCCTCCTTCAAGAGTTATCCACAGACAACGTGAGAGCTGCTTATCTCAGTGTTAAAAAGCGGGCCTGCAAAATAGGGTCACTCCCAAGAGCTTAAGTCTGAGGCTGCACTGCTTAGTCTACTTGCCCACTTTAAGCTATTTCGATCAGTATGTCATTTGATGCAATTTTGATTGTTTTCTGCTTATACTCTGAAAGACATTTATGTTCAGTTGTAGGAGTCACGTCAAGTTAAATGTGATGCTGTATTTATTTCTATGATTTGAGAAAACTTACTATTTGGTGTGGAATTTTCTAATAACTAGGAGAAGGACACACTTTTTCCAAGGAGGTTGGATGCTGTTCTTTATTTATTGGAAATTGTAGCAGCTGTGTTTAGAAAGACTACTAAAACAAAAACTAGCCAAGTCAGAAGAGTTTATCTTTTGCCATTGTGTGATGCAAGAACTCTTCATAGAAATGTTTATTTTGGAGTTTGAAATTTAAGTGAAATTCTGCGTCATACGTAGGTATGTGTGTATGTGTGTGTGTGTGTGTGTGTGTGTGTGTATGACTTTCAAGTGACAAGATTATTAGCAAATTGTAAGTATGTGTTTCTTGAGCTTTGTGAGTTAGCCCTTTCTTATGAAAAAGATATGCTGATCAGAAAGTTCAGCTGACAGTGAGAAACTGCATTTCTGGGAATGGAAAGTCAAATGAACAGGGGGAAAGAAGAAAATTGCCTATAGAGGTATTTTATATATTTCCCTAGGGGAAAAAAATGTAATTTCTCAAAAGGAAGGAGTCTCATTTGTCCTTCTAATCCATGGTCATATGCATCCATTCAATTAATACTAATCCTATCTTCTATTTTTGATCACTCTCTACACCTTTCTGTAATTACACCATTTTTCTTGTCCTTATCATAATACATCAAATACAGAGGTGATTTTAAGAGAGCCACAAATCAAGAAGTCTCAATACAGTAATTTCATAAAAGTGTAATTATTAATAATAGATAGGTATTAGGGATATACTTAGGTAACTATATTATTTTAAATATTATCAGTGAAAAATTTCATAGACATTTAAGGGGACAGAAAAAAAACCTACCTGTTTAAAAATGACCTTCTCTTTTGTCCTACCTATATGATTTGTTGAGCAGACTGGAATTTTTAAAAATTTCTGTTGAAATGAGCAAATTACAACATCCTCAAATCCCATTTAAACTGACAGACATCACTGGGATGGTAATTGCATATCTTAAACATTAACATATGGGTCAGTCAGCAGCATCCTTTCACTGGGAAAAGCTTGAAAATACCAAAGACTCAATGACAGAAGAAGTCCTTTAATGTAAAATGTATGTAATCGTTATGTTCCTTGTACAAGAATGATTTCTAAAAGCTCCCAAGTATTCATGTATCATAGTTATGAGAAAAGGTAGCACAACG